GTATAAAATAAGCTACGGATATTAAATATTATTATATTAAATATTATAAAATATTAAGCTACGGATGCAATTTTATTTTTTATTTTTTTTATTTTTACGGAGATGATTGAAAAATAAAATGAAGTCTAGGTAGAAAATAATTTTACCTATTAAATATTACCAGGTGTATCATATTTTATATATTTCACACATAATTTTCAAATAATTATATACAATCACATATAACATATGTAATTATACATAATTTTAAATATATGTAATATACATAATTTTAAATATATGAATATTTTATATACATATTTATATACTTATTCGTGTCACTTGCATTGAACGAGCTTGCAATTTTGGAAGTTCTGAGTTTGACAAAAGTCACTTAAATATAAAGAAATGAATTTTAATAACTTACAAATTTGTTTATCAGTGGGTATATAGAAAAATGAATTTGTAAAACTCAAACTAACGATGAACTTTTCTTGGAAGACGATGAAAGAGACGCGAAGCGAAGGATAAAAAATTTTTAAGGAAACATTAATTAGAATTTTCTCATTAAGTCAGCTACGAAGGACGTGGTTGCGTAATTTCATAATGAGACATTCTGCATAGTACACATGCCAGTTAGTCAACTAGCCAACGAAGCGACAATTATCGATTAGGCCTTATCGAGCAATGGGTCCTCTCTAATATGCTCCTGTGTATGTATACTTACTTAATGATCGATCAAGGAACATGGAACTAAAAAATGAAATTTTGGACTTTGCGTGAAATTCTATTTTAAACGATCTTTCTTCAAATATATTTCTAAAAATCGTACGAGTCTCATAGATCTTAAATCTTGATTGAAAATAAAACTTGATTTATAGAAGAATTGGTGTATAATAATTTTCTTCAGTTTTCGATATTTTTCTTTCTATCTAAACGGACTTTTAATTAATTTAATGTTAGAATTTAGTTTTGAAAAATATATATGTTACACTAAAAATGCACTATCGTGGATCTGTAAAATTTCTACGAAAAATTTGAAATTGATCTAAAAACATAAAGACATTCCAGTTTCAATAAGAAAAAGTACGTCCAACCTTCCAGAAACAAAATTTCAACTGTTACTCATCAAAAAAGAAAAAGTTACCAAAAAATTACACAATCAATTTAATCGAAAGGCTATAACTAATTAAGTGATTAAAAAGGAGACAGTGTCACCATTATAACAATAGACCGATAAAATGCAACAGCGTACCGTGACGATATAAAACGAATTAAAGAAAAGAAAAAAAGAAAAAAATGAAGGACACAAGTATCTACGTGACCTCCAATTCGCACATTACAATAATGGAATTATTATATATATCGAAAATACCACAAATAATTACACACAATCATTTCCATAAATTACACTGTATTTTCTCTC